CTTGTCCACGTGGAATGCATGGCAAATAAGCGCAGGCTCGAGCACTTTATCATTTTATTTTCTTTTACGGCCCTCTTGAACGTAAACTCCGATATAGATAAGTATAAGTACGAAGATATACTGTATAACAAATATACCATATTAGACAACTTATGACGCAGTATAATATCAGAGATGGGCTCTGATAGTATTTCTTATTCCCATCTACTTATACTACACGAACAACCTATTTTGTATATTTCTTTACATATTTATTAGCTCGACGGCTGTCCCCTTTCCTTGCCTCTTGCGGCCCCCCGTTTAATTAAGCTGCCACGTTTAATCGTATTCAACCCTGGTAATCCACACTTTTGGAATAATTAATAAATTGCAAATCACAGTTACCGGTAATGCGTAGCTTTGTTACCTTTCTTCGGATAAATGTACCACTCAAAGTAATTAGAACAGCCTTCATTGTGTTATGATTCGTCGCATTGTTGAAACAAATATAGCTCAATAAGCAATCAAATGAGCCGTTCGAGCCGTTCGTTATTTGTTTGAAATGTCCAAAGCTCTATTACACTCTTTATATCAGTTTCATATCCATACGCTTTCTGTTTCAATCTTCGCTCACGTCCCCCATTCGTCAACTCATGCACACTCATAATTCAAAACTAACAACGCAAAACATGTGTCCAATCCAACACACATGGGAATCACAAGCAATAAGGTAAAATACCGCATGGGCTTGGTATGTCGGCAAGTAGCGGTAGACCGATGGCAAGTCTCCGAAACATTTTCGTCTCTACAAGAATAGCAAGGCAGTCGTCTTGTTTTTGCAACCATCATTGGTTCATATGGTACGCACAATATAAAGGCAGACAATGCGATGTGGCCACATTGAAAGTCGCTCTATTATTCCCCAGCATGTTGAAACCCTCAATTCAATGTTACAAGGAAAAAGCTTTATGTAAACCTTTCCACAGAGAATGTGAAGAGACACTTTCACATAACAGTGTTTCAAGATTCAACCGAATAATTATGCAGCATTATTTGTTGTAAGCCGAAAATTGATAAGGAAGAGCCTCTACAAACAAAGAGTGACTGTTTCAAAAGCATCACCAACCTTATTACATCAAGCTCTGGTGTTGATACGTAATAAACGGACACGTCATACAATCTTTCATACCGCACTGTTTCTATGAGCCTCTTTTATAGTCATACACAGACGTCTACCTTCGAATATGGAAAACAAAGTGGACAAGTTTTTGGCATTAGCCTCTCACGGATTTGTTTTCAATAACGATGTTTCCGACGAATGAGCAGTTCGAAAGAAGAAATATATAGGCGGTGTATTATTTGTTTATACTCCAAAACCATACTTACCATAACATGCGCTTTATTCACAGTTCTTTGGTTCGTATTGAAACAGTCACGAAGAGACGCAGTATATCTTGGCAACACATCAAATTTACGTCTTAATAATTCGCTAACATTATTAAATGATTTGAATGTTTGACAAATGGTGTCTCTAAAAAAATTTCTTAAATAAGTCCTAAACACAGTTCTTTCTGCGTATATATATGGTCCGGTGCAAAAGATAGATGCCTTGAAAGAATTGATCGCTATCACATTGTCTAATTAAATGTTATGGTTATTAAAGTCGCACACAACTTTTTTTTTCGATTTTAGACCATCTTTACATAGCACATCACTTAACTTGTTTGAAAATGTCTCTATTCACGAGCTAGCGAAGTGCTGCTCCTCTAACTGAAAACGAAAAAAAATTTTTTTTTTAAACGCTTACAAATACTTTTCAGAGGAGAATTCCTCATCTAAAAAACGTCAAAAGTTTACATTCCGCAAGCGTGTTGCTGAGGTCCGGGGGGTTTCAGAAAGTACAGTTGAGCGGGTTATTCATAAATGGAATGAGTGTAAAAATGGCTCATTTGCAGAGCAAAAAAATATAGGACGGAGCCGAGCCCTGATATTATTACACTTTTACGTGAAAAATTACCAATGCAAACAAAGCTGGAACGCCTGTTTCAACACCAATTCTGCGGCAATATCTTGCTGAGAATGGGTTTACGCTTTCTAACGCAAAAAAATATAGAGAAAACGATATTTATTTAATGAGGAAACTGATGACGAATCCTTTTCTGAAGATAACATAATAGAATCCAGTGAGGAAATTTTTAATAAAACTTGTATCAAAATGTTTCTGACAACCTAAAGAAACTATTAAAAATTTTATTTGCAATAATTTGAGGTATCTATCTTTTTGCACCGGATTATAATATGTAGACAACTTTAATTATTTCCATGGTATCCTATTCCAATATTATTCATAAAACTCTAAAGTCTTATATTGAATAGGCGTCCGATCTGTTTATAGATTCTTTGCAGCATAGACGTGTATTTGAATGCTGCAAGTCCGTCCGTAAACACAATGATGGTATTTTGTCTCTAGAAACTTTTTCTTTTATTTTGATACGAGTCTGGTAATTAATGAATTCTGTATCTGTGTATTACAACCAAAAGCAATTGTGTTTTATACAAATAGTTAGTAGAGCATGAATTATCAATACTGCAATATGAGAAACAAGCGAATTGAAATGCAATGCACATTACTATTGAAACTTTTTTTTGCACATCTAACATGAAATTTATACCTTCAAAGTTTTTGTTAAAAAGTAGTATATTGCAACAACAATACACTCTATCAAGGTACAAATACAATACAAGGTTTTACTGGTAAAAATGTCACCGACTCTCCATATTTTCTCAAACAAGTGTCAGTGAAATTTATACCATTTTAAAGCTAAATTATTGTAATTTTAATTGAAAAATATTAGCAATTTTAAGACATTACTGTTGCAGTGTGACAGGGATAAAAGCGTCATTTCCTTAATCAATATTAAACAATTGTATTTATGCGTTTTGCAACATGCAACAATGATAAGGAAAAGGTTCAATGTCTGAAGGCTGTGGAAACAGGTAACGACTGCATCAGTATGAAAAAGTAAACATAGTAACATGGTTTTTTATTATGAATGTCTTGGAAAGTTACCAACAGTTAATTTGTTCATATTAATTATGTATCATCTCTAATTTTCATCTTTATTCCTTATCAATTCATCCACCATCCATCTATCTATTTATTATCCCATCTGCTCCTTTGTTTGTGGAATGGATTAGCTGCCATCATAATAAATAAGAGCTTTCTTGATGTACAGTATAACACTAATTCTTTATGTCTAAAATAGAAACCACAAACACGCATAGTAATAGTAACTAAACGTGCTTGCACTCCTTTGTGATATTATGATTTCTCAGACAGAGGGATATGTTCAAAATAGAGCTGCCACCAAAAAGCACAGTTCATTTTAATATACAATGGTTATTCATTCACACTCTTGAGGTAAGCAATGCTACAGTTATAAAGCATTCAGCATTAAATATTAATGCATCTACTGTCAAACTCTTCTTAGTGCATATCGTCAGGACTGCAGAATTTTATGCATTAAAATGACACAATTGCCTGATCCCACTCAGAGAGGTTTATCTGTATGATTATACCTAATATCAAAAACTGGCAGAGCTTCTGTCTGCCCCAAGCTTTGAAGTGGGGATATTGAATTCATATGCCTAGCATTACTGTAATTATAACAATGTTGGTTTCTTGCAAGTATTAAATTCAGTCAACACAAAAAAGCAAGTACACTAACAACTATCTGCTTGAATCATGCTAATACCACCTAAGTTTTAACCGGGCAGACCACATAGGATTACCCTGGATAAAATACGATTACTTGAAGTTAGATATCATACTTATTCTCTTTGTTTTTTTCTTGGTTCTTGAAATAATTCTGCCAACGTCCTTAAGAGCCCTTTCCGATTTCCTCTTGATAGAGTTCATCTTTTCTTGGTCCAGATATTCCTTAATGGCCTGTGTTTGAAAATATAAGGAGCAATTTTCTCGTTTTAATAGAGAGCGTAAAGCGATATAATTTTGGGCTCCATATAGATATAATATAAATAAGTTTCATATATTCAATTTTATACACTTCTATTGAATTATAGATCTAAACATACGTTGGGATCGATCTACCCGTCAACTGTGCAACCGAATGTGTTAGGCGCTTGAAGGTATTATGGACATAAGACAGCCAGTTTGTTTAAAATTTATCTGTCAGTGGTAAGTAAAATGTTGAAAAGCAAATTGGTATAGCTACAGCGGAGCGATAATCCTAGTTCATATTACCAAAGGAGTTTTCAAAATGGTTTCTACTGTTATGACAGCCTAAAATAAATCCCATTGACACTTCTGAGTCATTATCAAAAAAAAAGTGGAAGATGTAAACCTAAAGTCTTTGTATGTATATCAGCAAAGAGATATTCCGTATTAGTCTTATCAACGATTATATATTTAAGTAGAACAATTTTACAATCGATGAATAGAGGGAATATTTTCTAGAAAAGCATGAGTCCTAGATTGCTTCGATCGACCGAAACGTAGCTGCTTTTAACTGCGTACTAATATCCGTCAAGCGTTACCGCCTTAATCAATAGTCTGATCGTAGACACCCTTTTAAATATAATTATGAATGGGGTATTTTTTGACGACTGAATTTCGTCTGTATTCAATCATTAATGGGATACAATCCCTTTCTAGAGCATTTGGCACTTTTTATTAACTTGATCAGGGGGTTTATGAACAGAAGATGCATGAAGTACTGTAATCTGAATCACAAACTGCCTCGATTGTACAACGTAATGCTAGAAAACCGCATAAAGCTGGAACGACCATCTAAAATAATAGTAGCAAATAGTATGTTACGGCGATGATGCTATCTGATGCAAACGTAAAATATGACGATTCTCGATCCTTGTATAAGACTTCTATGCATTTACCGAGACCTTTACTGTAAAGCAATTGACGAATGGCTAATTACCAACTTTACAAATCTGTCATCATCAAAGCAATCGTGAACCAGGAAACTTACTCATTCACGCCTTCATTAATCATCTAAATCCTCGTCCTCCTCATCCGTGCTAACGAACACGTCTACTTCGACTTCTAGTTTCACGCGTTCGATTTGACAGTAACCATATTCACGCCTATAATCCGATTCACCCCAACTTTCTCCAAAGTCTATCCTGTTCTCGCTTTCTTCAAAGTATTTATTGTCGGCCTCTTGGATAATTCCTGACAGTTTGTAAAGACGCCGCGCTTCATTCTTCATTGCCACCTCAGCAAGTTCCTTGGTCACGAAACAACGGTTGCAGACCTCCTCCTCTTCCTTGTACTCGGAGAAGAATATCGTCAACACCCAAACGTCCGTGTTATTCTTATTCTTGCCTGAAAAGAGGAAACAAAAAAGGTCAAGTCCCTTGGATCACGCAAAAGCAAACAGTAACAGTAACCAACGCTACCTGTGGCTTTTGAGGTGGCTGCAGTCGTTGACGTGGTTTTTTTCATATCTTTGCGCTTATACCAGTGTAGAAAGCGAATGCGATTTTGATCAAAAGATGTGAAGAGAACAATGTAGGAAGTATGACAATATCAAATTTAAAATCAGGGAAAACACGAACTGGAGGGAGTATATATATATACTTGAAAAATTACGTGTAATCGCAGGATTGACATCACGTGTCGCGTGTCAGCACATGTTATGCATTTAGACGAAAAGTCACATGATAAGGAGCAAAGCAATTCTTTTTCAATATCATACGATAATAAAAAAAGTTTTTTCTTTCCATGACAAAGTGACTTTGACAAATCTTCAACGACGTAAAATTTGCTTAAAAGGCAGGATAACCCCAGAAGGACCTTGTCGAATGGTGTTAAAGTGAAAATGATCAAGAACAATATCTCGATTGCTAAACGATCAAGTAAGCTCTTGGCGACAATTATATATTATTGAACTTCGATCACTATTATTATTATTATTATGCTAAAAAAATTTTGATCGCACATGCATTATTATACTACATGATAAAAATTGATTTTATTCCGACATGTGAACCTTACTACTACGCTTCGCACTTACAAATTTCTAACCATCGATGCCGAAATTATAATACATCAGGTTATATATGCATTTAAAATACTATACAAGGTTTATAAAATTGATTGCATATACATTTAAAGGGTGTATGCAATAATAGGTTAAGTCCAAACTCCCAGACAAAAGCATGCATTTAGAGGAGTTTGAATGTATCTATGCAGAAAAACCATGGTGATTCATAATCTCTTTGCAAAACAATGCTGTTAACTCTAAAGGTCAGTCATCCGTGTACATATTTCAGATGGGATTTATTGTCAACATACAACATTGCTATTCAACACTGTACTATCATGTTATATCTGAGAGGAAAAAATGTAATGAATATGTAATCAGCATGTGTTATTTTAAAGAATGACGATTTTTTGCCCCAATATGGCTTTAGTATTTTTGATGAATTTTGATATGTGTGGTCACCTGAGAGTACATTGTTCAATTAATGACCATGCAGTAATGTCAAAAAAGTCAACAAGCTAATATTTATAAATGACTTCTCTTCATGTCAACACATTGTCCATCTTGCACTTATCAGTTACCATAAGCATTCTGAATAAAGTAATAATTAATTGACTTTATTCCTTGATGCCTCAAGTGGTTAATATAATCCTAAATCGGGCTTTAAATTCTCGTCCTCTTATTTAGATGGGATTCTTATTCTGATAGCAAGGAAGGAAGCCGGTATAAATAGTAATTCCTTAGCGTAACTGTGTATGCACTCCGACGTTTATTGCAAAGGTTATTCACATTTAGGCAGGTTACTGTAAATAACGGCAAAGAAATTATTAATGATTAATAAAGTCTCCTCGCCGTCTTGTCTTCTACCCGATTGATAGGTTAATTAATAATTAGAATTCATTCATTACGATTCGTCTACCGAGACTTTAGTTCAGATCATTCCCATTAATTGAAATACTTAGCGTTTTATAATATAAGAAGCGTCGGAACATGGGAAAAAGAAATAATTTATCGTTGCATTGAAAATTATTCTTCTATCAACTAACCGTCATTCTAAATAACTAATACATTCTAAGACTATATATGGAATTCGATAATGGAATGACACACATAACGAAACACCTGGCGTACGAACTGTATGCACATAGAATCGCCGGTGTCAAGGATCGCTTTTACAATGTCATGTGCTTTTAACAATTATACATGTGGGCACTTTTCTGTCGCATTTTACTTTTCTCTTTTTGCCAGGCTAAATCTAATCAGAGAGTATCAACGCTCCTGATACGGGGATGGTTCCAATCGATAAAGTGCAATGTTACACAATACATGAGCGACATTTTCCCTCCAATCATTATTTCGAAGTTATCCTTTTTCGGTAGTCGACTATTATACATCGTATGCTCCCCCGGCATTTGTCGAGAGTAATAAAAGTTGAGATACCTTAAAAAATCAGATCTCAAATGGCTGAGGCAATACAACTGAAAAATGTATCGCTAAGCTCTTACTGAAAAGAGTGCTCATCTCGATAATAAGTTCTTTATTTATATGAAAATCAACAAATGATAACTGCGCTTGCAGTGTCCAAAGGCTAGTTTAATAAAAACATGATAGTCACTTGTAACAATTATATATTTGAAAGCAATTCTTCATTTAAATATATACTATCATCCAAAAAAATGACATTTCTTAATTATTGAGGTGTTGGTAATAATTTTCAATGTCAGCAGCTGATACACTGTCTAAGTGAGTACACTCTACTTTCATAACAACATACCCAGAGTTAGTGGACTCGTTAATTACGTTAGAGTTATTAGATGAAAGTAACATTTGCATTGGCATTTGCGTAACAATGTATGAATGGTTGATCGCAGAGTCCGACGGATAATTATTTTGTGCAGAGAAGCCAAGCAATGTTTGACAAGATACCGGGGCTGGATAAGATCTGCTCGTATGGTTTTCGACTTGATCGTGACTTGGTATATTCGACTGCCCACTTCTTGTCTCAATGTGACTCGGAAATTGATAAGAAACTGGATAATTGGCGGTTTCTTGATATGATGCATAGTCGCTAGCAGCATTCCTGTAGTCCATAGTATTCATATCGACATTATTGAGGAGAGAAAAGGCGGTAGCGAAAAGAAGAGTATGAGATTGGGCGTGCATTTGACTTGGATAGGATGTCATGGCGCCGTCCAAATTATCATCCTCGTAGAGTGGTATCTTATATTTACCTTGTGAAGAGAGAGAGAGAGAGAGAGGTTGTGTGATTGGAACATTAGTTGAATATTTTCATACCGATTTTCTATTTTTTGCTTCTTCCCTCTCAAATTTGTCTCTCAAAGATACTAACCAACCATCCTGTCAAATTGCACTCTTGGAGTCTTTGGAGATGAATATAATGACTCTGTATGATGAGGGTGGGTAACAACTAAAAAAATAGACAGAAGAGAACAATGGGTTAGTTTACTGTATTACATAATCAGTAAGACGTATAAAAATAATCAATCGGCCTTACAACCCTGCGTATACCACATAACATCTCAATCTAATCCTTAAATGGAATATTAAACATATTGCCCACACACCTTCGGTATGCCGTTTTCTGTAAACTATCAATTGTACTTCATCCTGTTCGTTTGAACTTTCTTCTG